TGTTAAGCATTTTTCTGGGTTCTTCTCTCCTCAGGTTACTCTGAAGCAGCTGCTGTGTCACCTCAATACATCACCTGAGATTAACCTCAGAAAAATCAGGTGCTTCTTTAAGCGCTCAACCCATGGAAAGAGACCCACTAGCTTTTTACGTGACTACTTATTTGCTCTCCCAGCTGTTGACTGTGCTGCATGTTTTTCAGCTCAGTGCCTTGTGTCACATACGATCTTCAGCAGGTTTGAAACCCCGCATGGGCCTCCAGCCCCTCGCAGGTTGCACAAGCAGGGATGCCCTTTGAGCGCTGCTGTTTCTCCCGCTCTGGTGCTTCCAGGGCCCCTGACGCTGAAGGGAGGAGGGCATCGACACGGAGCCACCCAGGAACACCCCATGGAGCAGCTGGACTGGGAACTGCCTGGAGCACCTGCCCCTGTAAACACCCTCCTTTTGCGCTTGGGTTGTCTGTTTTAAAGGTCCTACCGCTTGTGTTTCAGCAGTGACACCAAGAAGGGTTGATCTGGACATACCAGCCTCACAATAGTCCAATAGTTTATTAAAATACAAAAGCTCAGCATCAAAGCAGATCATTCCATTTCTATTTTTACTTTTCCAGCCTCAAAAATCTTTTGAATGGCTAATTGATCTTTAGTTATTTTTATAATTAACCTCTGGTACTTTGCTCGCCAATTAATAGCATCCATTTGCCTCTTCTTAGTGCAGTGGCTGAAATTCAGAGTGTACTCCATCTCCTGACACTGACAATCCAGGACAATGGGATAAAACCCAAAAATGTTCATCAAAAGAAGAGTTTCCTGATCCCGGCAGCGTGGTGCTCTCCCTGCCCGTGTCTCCCTCCTGCCCACCCTGAGCTGGAGCCCTCCCTGCCCAGGCTGGGAACACCCCTCCTGAAGCATCTCTTCCCAAAGGCTTTCCCAGCATCCCTGAGCACCTCTGCTCATGTCCACTCCCTGCCACACTCAAACCTGCCCAGGGCATGTTGAGGGGAGTTTTTGCCACAACCAAGGAGCCCTGAGCCCTAAGTCACGGCTCCCCAGCACGGTGCAGGCACATGGTGGCCATCACTGCCCATGGAGCATCCTTCTGGCACATGAGGAGCTTGCCCCGTGCAAAACTTACCCTGTGCAAAATTCACACCACTGCCACGTGCCGAATGGATGCTGTGGGGAGGAGGGGGTAGGGACCTGCATCCGCTGCGCTTGCCCAGCCCAGCAGCATTTTAGGCTGTGACCAGCACAAAGGAGCCCGCAGCGGGGTGCAGCATGGTGAGGGGCATCGCTGTGCCCCTAGTGAAGGAGGCAGGAGAGGACCAGCCCCAAGTATGTACCCAAAGGCAGCGGGGAGCGCCTTGCGGCAGCTCCCCAAGACAGCACAGGCCCATACACCACATCCATGGCTTCTTGCAGAGCCCTCAGCTGCCCCTTAAGCAGCCACAGGACCTGTCCCTTCCTCCCAGAAACCCACCTGCATTTCAGTTGCATTTTACGCAACGGCGTTTAGCATGGTGGAAATAAAAAAAAAAACCTTCAAATGTAAGGCTTCCTTCATTTCTCCAATACTGATATTTTAAAAATAAGACCAGTCACATGCACACTGAGATATTACAAAACAGTGTTTGCTGCTCCAGACAGTACAAATAACTGTCTACTTCCCTCTTTTCTGATCTATATAAGTTATTAAACGCTGATCAGAAATCACCCAGCACTGCAATGGTCCTCATTTGGTCCTGCTGTGACGGCACTGTGTCAAGATCCAAACCCCATCCGGTGGCCAAGGGAGACCCACCAATCCCTCAAATTTGATATTTTACATTGCTGGGGAAGAACGTGACCAGGCACATCTGCAAATGCTCTCTCAATACATTTATGCAGTAACAGCCCAAACAAACAACAAAAAGGCCTTAAAAGGACCCAAAGCTCTGAAATCCCGACACAGTACAGCCAAGGCTCCACGGGCAGTGGTTACAGTGGAGTTACCTGCGTTACCTGGACGGCTACTGCAATATCGCCGGATCACCAAGTGAGCAAACAAGATATTGTTAAAAAAAAAATAGAACAAATACCTTTTGAGCAATAGCTTCAGATAATACTACAAGTGAGGAAAAGACCATCAATGTGAGCAACGTTCTCTCCTCCATTTTGGAAAGACCAGATTTTTCAAATGAAAATTCAGTTTATCTTAATCAGTTAATGAGTAACTTGTGCTTGGGAATATTATGTAGACTTTGAAGAGACCCAGAAACTTAATATTTACATGTTAAACATAGGTAAGACTTGGACTTCGTTAACGTTTATTTTTCCATCAGACCTTCACTGTCAAACATTAGAATTTTAATACTTCATAAAACATAAAGTTAAGAAATCCTTATGTTTTCTTTTTAAACTTAAATTTCACTGTGACACATGAAATCCCATGGGCAGATGACCGGGTCTGTGCAACACGCTGCATTTTCTGATGTGTGAATCTCTACCTTATCCAACAGTAATAGTTTGAATGGCACATCCTTAACATTATCTTTAGCACTTCAGGGATTTGGAGATTTCCAAGACATGCAACGTTCATGTGAGAATTTACAGCCGGTGACTTCCTCAAACCTCGTGCCTCCCTGCCCAACCAGCCCATGAGAGGTATGGAGTAGCCCTGTTGAAATGTCCTCTTCTGCTTTCTCTGACAAGCCACAACCCTTTTTTGTCAAATAGCGAAGTCATTTGGGGCTTGTCTTCAGCTAAACAGCAAAAATAAAGCGATCAGACCTTGCCTGGACTCCCTAGGGAGAGAGGCACTAAGTCAGTGCCTGTACGTACACACATGTAAGTCTATAAAGAAGCCACAAGCCACCCAAAACCCAGTGCAACAACAGCTGTGCACAGGAGCACATCTGGCCTCATCCAGCCCTAACACAGCTGCGACACATCCAGCCAGGAATTCTGCAAAGCTGCCTTTAACCCGTGTGTTCAGCGGGACGATACGCACAAAAGATTAGTGCTGGGAGACCTCTGCACCCGAATTTACCTGTAAACTGAGTGGGATGCCTCTTCACCTCCTATTTTATAAGTAAATCTTCATCCAACAGGGACTTCGAGCAGTTCCTGTGACGTTTTTCTTGGTCAAGGGTTGGCTTGTGACTCTGGAAGAAGAAATTCTCTTAAAAGTCCAATTTTATGCACAAATAATTACAGACTGTGTCATACTAACAGAATTTCTGAAATCCATCCTCACTCCTGTGGTGTTGAGGTGGTCTCCTAACACAAGACAGCTCACACGACTATTTAAAATGTATTTCTCCGTCCCAGTAGTTGTTAGTTTGCCTTTCCTATAAAATATTTTAAACACGTTGTGGGGAAACAATTGGTTTTTTAGGCAGCGTGGTAAACAGACCCTGGGCAGAACCCATTTCAAAAGTTTGTCTCCTCAGCTCTACATCTGGGAAACCAAGGTGAGAACTGGAGGTCGGGGAATGAACTGTCATGAGCCCCTGCTGTGCTGGTGTCCAGGATGCCTCTCCTGGGCTGGCTTGTTTTATTGGAGCACTTATTTATTCAGAGGGCTTCATTTGTTCATTCGTTACCAGTGCAAGAAAATAAAATGATTGAAATCTTGAAAATATCAACAGGACAGGAAAAATGACATCCCCTGGGGCTGTAGTTCAGAGGATCTCTTGGGCACAGGCAGCTGTTGCGTCAGCCCCTGGTTCCTGTATGGATTTATATGAACACACGAACACAGGTGTGTCAGTATGCAACCAGCCAGTGCTGTGGAGAGATACAATCCAGAAAGACCCCCTCACCGAGCAGAGGAAGACTGAATCCTGCCCTCACCACTGCAATTTCCCTGCCCGTCTGCCCTGTGCTGGCAGCTCCAGGACAGCAGACAGCCCTTTCTCAACGAAACCTGCGGTCTCTCCCCTTCTCTAAATAAAGG